CCCGGTTATCGGCCGCAGCCACATCACACCAAACCAGCGACCTCGCTTACACGTTAGCAGCGAGTTAGCTGAACTAGCTCACCACCTCGCTCTGTAAAAGCTATACTGCAAGAGCTGCGTACGTTAACTAACATTAGCACCCCCCTCTCTTGTCTCACGTCCCAGATAAACAGCCGTGAATAAAAACGTGCAGGTGCAAGGGCACATTACATTTGAACCCCGTTTGAGCCACACTTACTCAGACGTGTCCTGTGACAGCGAGCTCTGATAGCCACTGAAGCTAATGGGATTTGTTTTTGTCTCGTTTGTCACAACGTAAGGTCTGACGCTATCACCCCCACACACACACACACACACACAGCTTTATACAAAACAATGAACGTTTTTTAGGAGGCTTACCCAGCTGAGTGCGACCCTTTTTTCCCTCGGTGTTTTACAAAAGGAGAAGCCCAGAGGTCCTCTCTGCTGCAGCGGCGGTGTTACCGGCGGCTGTCTTTTCATTTCCGTACGTCCTCTAAAGTTTCGTTTTGTCAGAAATGGGCGTCAACTAATAAAGTTTACTTTCCTAATGACTCATATTGGTATTTTTCTGGAATATGGAGGGTGACTAAGCAAGTGCCCATGCGCACGTGTGTAAAGTTATTAATAAATCCTCAACCTTCCTCTAATGACAGCCAATAATTCCAGTTTCCAGTGATGTTGGTACTGATTCTGCTTTCTTTTAATGAAAATATGACTACATTTTATTAGTTGTTAGTTTAAGAAGCATAAGTTGAACCCACATGAACCAATAATGAAAAATGGCCCACATGGTGCACAAGAGAAACAAGTTACACATTTGTTTCCCCTTTTTCATTTTTGTTATTATGAAACATTTCTTATGTTTTCAATCTGTTACATTAAGGTGCATGACGTTCTCTCCTTAGAGAAACCTGCATGAAGAGTTACATTGGCGCTCAGATGTTGGTCTTCAACAAAGATGGTGATATTTCTGGTTAGTTCTATAGTGACAAAGCTTTCAGGCCCTGAGAGAAAGGTGTCTGCTGTGGCAGCATTTTACTTTCTCTGCGAGCACACCTAACTGGTCGTTGTTCAGCGATCCATACTGGAAATTCCCCCCATGATGTGCTTAAGTCTGTGAATCCTGTACTGTCAGTGATGTGCATATGAAGCAAGAAAACCAGGCTTTTCCCTAGATCAATATAAAGTAAAACATTCAACAAGTACCCCCCACATTAAAAGAACATTAAAACAATGGCTGATGGCTACATAGAAGGAGGTGTGTCTCCTTTTTACAACCACAGTGCAAAGTCCACAGAGTAGCAGCACTGGACCAGTTCCTATGAAACACTATAAGCACATTGTCCCCCCTCAGCATGGCAAGGTCAGGTTTGTTTCATTGTGTGAATTCAGACTGATAGCTCTTGCTCTTGCATAATGCTCCACTATTAATGCTGTGTGCTGTGTTTTCAGTGAGGAATCCACACTTAAAGGAGATCCTGTTACTGTCAATAAAGGGAAACACGCTCAACCTGCAGATGTTTATGGTTATAATATAATGAGTGTCCCGTGATGACCTTTTATCCCGTCACAAGCTGTGTCTCTCTACAGCTCCCACATGACACCCACTCATCCATTGAGATTGTGTGTTGCCTGTATAAGAGCAAGCGAGTTGTCGGTAACTTGTCTCAGAGTGCTATGCTGTCAAATGGTCAGCAGAGGGCAGAATAACCTGGAATTTGAGGTAAAGTTTTGGGTAACATTGCACCAAGGAGTGCAGGGACTTTTCTTCATTTCAACCAGACATCTGCTGCATCAAAGGATTTCACACGTGGACACTGTGCTCTTCGGGTAAAAAAAGAGAAAAAGTTATCTTGCCCAAACACCCAAGATTGGTGTTTCAGTTTCATTTTGTGCGGGTGGGCTACATTACCATGGAAACTTGGACTGCACTCCCAGGTCAGGGTTAGATTCAGGCTGTCAGACCAAAAAGGTATTAAGACCTGTCTTCACGACACTACCACCACCACATGTATAAACTAAAATAGCGATACAGTCATACAGTCCTTTGGCCTGAAAAACCTGCAAGTTAAAAATAAAGCTATATATATATATAAACAGTCAGAGGAGCTGTTTGCAGGGTTGTTTATTGTCTCAGATACAGTATACAAGAGGCAATGTCAAAGCCATTTTGCCCACTTGGTTGCAAATAAAAGCGCACATTGTGTAGCAGGTATAGCTTACATATTTAGTAATGATGAATGTTTTGCATATTAAATGTGCACGTGTGTGTTTTTTTTATCATCCACATTCATCACAAAAGTCCCAGAGGACAACCAGACATATGTTGTGAAAAGAAATGAAAGAAAGAAAACTGAAGCTTAATGGGAGTCAGTGAGTAAAAATTGTTTCACATTCACTTAAAGTTCAGTTTTAACCTGAAAACCAAAAACACTTCTTTTTATTGTTTCATTGTATAGTGTTTTTGAGTTGCTCTCATTTGAGTTTCTACCTCACATAAAAGCCTGTATTTCAGTTCTTTCACATATTTCTATATTTTACAGCCTGCTGAACCTGTTGCAATTGACTGTAGTGGGTATATGATTTTAGTAACCTGAGAACCTCAGGAACTAAAGACCACAGAAAGCAAATTAACTTTTGCACACAGTGCCAAGACCACAACACAAGAGCATCTATCAATATGTAAAACTCTGTGCAGCAGAAAACAACTTAACAGCCAGGTGGTGCACATTTGATCCAGAGGCACGATGAAAGAAATACAATAACATTCATAAAAATAAAAAAAAACACTCTGAGATGATTTTTGATCATTTTTTGATATTGACTTTGGTTGACTTCACCCTTCTGTAGGGAGGAAGATAGACTAGGGGGAGGACGCCATCCGGGATGTGTCACCATCTGAGTCTCACAGTCGCTTGTGTTGAATCAAGAAAATAAAATGGCACGCTATAGACTGAATACATTTAATAGGTTCTCACTGTGCAACTAACATAATCATGGCAACTATAGTAATGATGTATATCAAAAAATGTATTCTCTGAGCAGCGTGTTTAAATACATTTCCCATCAGATTATGTTTTGATGTGTATCACCTTTACAGACCATAACGTGATGAGAATGGAGGCTCAGTGCGGCTCATTTTTATTTCGCGTGTACCAGAGGAGCATTTTTAATTTCTATTAAAGTTTCTGTTGATTTATACCTCGCTGATCTTAAGAGCGCATTGTTTACTGCAACCTTACGTAAACATTTATTGAGATTCTGTTGAACTTTTTTCTTTTCTTTTAGTTACAAGTATAAGTGTTGGGGAAGGGGAAGAGTTCCAACTGTGTTGTTTTTTTCTTGTTGTCAGATTTTGACAGTGTGAGGAAATAAAAACAAAAAAATCATAAACCAAATACCCTAAAAACATCATGTCGGTACCCCTCTTGGCACGTGTCAAATCAAGGCTCAGAAGAGTTCCACGGCTGGCTCCTGAAGAAGAAAAAAAGAAAAACACATGCACTTGCCTTAAGGAAACCATTATTGATGAAATGTGTAAGTTCTTGTTGAGCATTACCTGCACACTGTGCTGTAAATCATGTCTTCGTCATCATGATGGGAGTCCATATGCTGCTCCCTGCAGGTGATACAGTTGATGAATACATGTGTCTCTCATGCAACATAAATTATTATTTGAAAAATAGGAAACAGTTGTAAGGATATCTCACATGTTCGACTTTCTCTTGGTGTGAAAATCAACCGTTGCGTAGATGAGTTCCGCTGTCGCTCCCTCACTCTGGCTTCCCTCTTGTGATTGGTTATTGTCTAAAACAGGCCAGTTGGCATACACTGCATCCTGAATATAAAACCACATGATTAATTAGTGCAGAACATCAGATTAGGGTTTGCAGACAACCTCAGTGCAACTAAAAGCTTAACCTGTAACGTACTGCACACAGTTTATGTGGCACAGCTTTAATTTACATACAAATCAGACACACACTAACACAGTAATATGAGAGTGCTGCCTCTGTGTCGTCCTCACAGTCCGCCTCTGGGGCTCTTGTCCTTTTTTTGTTGAGTCTAAAACACAAGAACAGACTTCGGAAAAACATCTCATGGTTGTTTTGTATGAGATATAATAGTGATACAGTGTAAATACAGCTTACCTTCTGAGGGCAATAACAGCAATCACAATCAGAAGCACAGCAACAAGAGGAAGGATAAGTCGATTTCTGTTACTGTTAGGTATTGCCTGATATTCTGTGTAACAAAGACGGTGTGTGTTAGTTTTGTGAGAGCACAATAATTAAATCCAATGTGATCTACGCAAAAGTCATTGATTGGATTAAACTGTTATGATCCCTAAACTATAAAAAAAAGTAGCAAAAGTGCCCTATTGGATTCCACCCAAGGTAGATAAAACATGATAAATTGCTCTCTATGGTAGCCCAAGAAAATGTAACAAAGTTCTTTCTAGGGTGCTCCTAAGAGGGTGTCCTTTAAATGAAGAAAACATGATACAGGGGCCTTCAACGGTGCTTTACGTGAAATGGGGTATGTAACTGTTTCGATATGCATCACCGCTTTCTGTGCACTGAAGCTCCACCACATGCATCTGGTGCCCTTTTAATTTTTTTTTTACCCCTGCCCTTCAAACAGCCTAAAGGACCAGTGATATCATGAGCATGTAACGCAACTTACCTTTGATCTTTAAGCCACCAACAGAGCCGGCTTTGACTTCCATGCTTTGCTCTGGTGGCAGGTTGCAGAAATACTGCCTCACTTCCAGCAGAAGAGGAAACACAGGCATGGTGTCCGACTGCTATGTTATCCAACTGCGTCTTTTTAAACCAGGATACTGTCTCCCACTGGGGGTCGCATGGCCTGCTGCAGATCATGCGGTCGCAGTTGCTGCTGCTGCTGGGCGGTCTATCTCCAATGATGGTCTGGACAGACGCCTGACTGTTCTTTGGGCCATCTGAAAGGAAACCGGGGTTGTTAACCGTCAGAGAAATTATGTGGCAAAGTCACTAATTGATTATTTTGGTCATTTGAGTGAAAATTTCTAAATGTTTTATCTAAATCGTATCAATTTAATTTTCTTTGTGTAAAGTGGTGATCTTGTGTCCGATACTTACATTCAACATCAATATTTATGACTCCTGAAGTTGTTCCGTTATGGGTCTTTAGAGAGCAAGTGTAGTTTCCA